GCAAACGTCTGGGAAAGTTGGTTGACTGAGGTTGGGGAACAGCTCTCACTTTGCAACTTCAATAAACCAAAAGAAAAAGAAAGGTCAATGTCAAAAATTGTTCCTCAAAGAAGCATAATGGCAAAGTATTAAACCAACACAAAACCTTATAATTAAAAACACACTGCCAATACAGGTAGTCCCAGTTTAATGATGGTAATTCTGCAACTTTGTTGCTAAGTGAAGCAGTCTTAAAGTGTGATGTCATGTGACCATGCTGTTTTATGACAGCAGCAATCCCAGTTGCTGTCATTGGGTGAATCACACACAGTCACAGCGCCCTATGGTCACATGATCCACCTTTGTGACCTGCCAGCTTCCCCACTGACTTTGTTGATCAGAAGCCGTATTTGTGTAACATATCAAACCTCAAACTAGTCAAGCACATTGGAATATGTGTTGCTTGAACCCAGGCTGTGTGATTAATTTATGGTTCTGTGTATCATATGACTTCAAAACCTGATTAGCAGAGGTTAAGTTAACAATGGTAAATACTGAAATACAAATTTATTTTTAACAAACCATAGTCTGAATTTGGTATTTCCAAAATTATTCATAAATTGAAATATTCAAGTTGTTTGGGATATAGTTTAAGATAACTTTAACATATTTAACCCTTAATTGCCTTTCAAAAACCTAATTCAGTATAGTAATAATATCTAATCAATAAAGAATTTCAAGTGGACATATTATTGTCTAGTAGACCCTAAACAGAATTTTTTGCTTAGGATATTTCTGGATGGTGTTTTTAGCTGTATGTGCTTCTATGCTTGGAGAATGAATCCTGTTTTATATGCTTTCCAAAACCAACAAAAAATTAATTAATTTAATTTCCAGGATTCTTCTGCAAATGAGAGTCGAAACTGTTCTGTATGTCAGTAAGAAAAAACTATTTGCAGGAGTATGGTTAAACTATAATTATTTTACATTTTGTGGTAATATTTATTATTGTCGTTATTATGGTTGTTGCTGCTGTTGTTATTTTAATTCCTATAGCTACCCATTCAGTCAAGGACTCTGGGCAACTTAAAATTCCAAAAAGTATAAAACAATTAAAATGAAGCATTTAATAAACAATTTAAAAAAACATCCAAAATAAATATGCACAGCAACTGAGATGTGGCCAGTTAACAGTAAAGCCAAGAAATGGGGTCCTTATCATATTCAGGCTTGGGAATGCAACCAGAATTTTAAAACCTCAGGAAAGGCTGACAGGGTTTGGGCCATTCTAATCTCCGAAGGGAGGATATTCCACAGAGCAGGGGCTATTGCAGAAAAGGGCCATCTTTTAATTCCTGCCAGCTGATGCTCATTGGCTGACAGAATCTGCAGCATGGCCAATCTGCTAGATCAGAATGGGTAGAGACTCTTAGAAAAAGGCGGTCCCTCAGGTAACCTGGTTCCAAGCCATATAAGACTTTATATGGTGAACATGTAGCACTTTGAATTGGAATTACATATCAGTAACCAATATAATTCACACCACAGGGCACGGAGACCATCATTCGCCTACTCCAGTCCAGTCCCCTTGAACTACTTCTGCAGTGCAGAGCTTTGAGGGTCCCACTAGATGGTGCTGTACAAGGACATTGTTTCATTACCCAGTTAAAAGTTAGAACATGAAATAGAAAAGCCAGAATAACATAAAACTAATTCCCATTATTCACTTAGAGCATCTTACAGGGTTAGCCGATCAGTGTGTCAATAGAGCAGTAAAGAGGACAAGGTTTATATTTCTTCAATAATGGCACATGACATTAAAATAAGATAAAAGTCTTACTGGGATTATTGTTTTTATTGTTGTATAATTGGGTTTTTATTCTTTATAAGCCACCCAGATTGACTAAATTTTCAAAATAAAATAAAAGTATGTCACTAATATGGAAATGATAAAAGTAAGTTTAGAGACAGGATGAACTTTACACTTCAAGAATTTATTCATACATTCATTTACTAATACACATACAAACTGCTGCAGCAACTATTTGGGCAACTATTTCTATTACCGTGTTTCCCCAAAAATAAGAACCTGTCTTATATTTTTTTGAACCCTGAAATAAGTGCTGGGCCTTATTGCCATGCGCTCAAAAGCCCGATTGGGCTTATTATCAGGGGATGTCTTATTTTGGGGGAAACAGAGTAGCTATCAATAATATATTTACCCTTGAAAAATGTAACATGGGTTTTCAATGTCTACACATATGCAGCCATAAATTATCTGTATTTTTGTTCTATTCTCTGCTCTAATCATTTTTTCCTTTAATGTAACCTTCATTCCTTTTTAGGGTTAATATGTTACTTTTTTGGAAGATTTTAAAAGTGTGAACTGATTTTTCTGGTCATATGACCCAAATAATTTTCTGTTATCTTTCTAATTTTCACAAAATGCTTATTCTGCTTTGGCAATAAAATGTAAATATATTAAATATACTTGACATCTTCTATACGTTATACTTCTATAGAAAGCTGTATTAGTTCCTCATATAAATTACCTGCTGTTGGTTTGATAATGATGTGGGAGGGCTGCTTTGTTTTTAGGGGGTTTTGGCCATCAATCTGTTACATAGATTAAGTTTTGTGATATTATCAATAACGTTACCATCTGCTCTAATGCCTTGAAATGCAGTTTTATCTCCTAAAATTGGCAATGGAAGGTAATGATTGTCACCTGCTAATATTTATCAGAAGTCAGAAGTATAGGACCTAGTTGAGAACTTGATAGCTTTAATATTATATACAATTTCACTTGAACTTGAGGAATTAATTTACTTCCTAAACCATTTAAATAGAGAAAAAATATGAGGTAAATATTTAATAGCCTGAAGCCACATTGTAATGTTTTCTATTCACTTTTGTTGAATATAAACCACATTTGGTGGACAAAATCAGCATTGAGATATAGAGTCTCTGGAGAATTGATGCTCATCTATATCAGATGTATAAAGTGGCAGGGAATCAGAGGAGAGTAATACACTCTAGACACCGACTGATTTCGCAGTACACACCAAACTACAAACTATCTAACCATAATTGAGCCTGGTGGATTATGTGAATTCAGTGTGGGTCAGTGGTTCATTGTTAAGTATCATACAAACGCAGTAAAATTAACTAAGTAAACTATCAGTAAACATACTGTGGAAATAGTATGTCCAGGAACTTAGTCAATTTTGCTGTGCTATTATAATATGTGGCAATACCTGTATCAAATGAAAAGGTGGAAGTAATGAACACAGACAAGCCTATTTATAAAATGTATAACTTTCGAAGTATTGATATGATTAACACAAGCCATGACAAAACATAACTCTAAACGAAGGGAAAGATTAAACTCTTAACAAAAGAAGGAATACAGGGATGCAAAATTATTTTGTTAAGGCTTTCTCTTCTGCTTCTTTAAAAATGTCTTTTAATCCCATGAAGACTAACATAAAATAAGTCTCTAAACAACTAATGTCTAGTAAATAAATTCAAACAAAATCCAGAACACAATAAAATCAAGCCAGATATATCTCATTTACTGTACTTTAGTGGTTTGTTATGAGCATATCACAGTCCTCTGAATATTTTGGCCTTACTTTTTGTTGTTGTTACGTCTGCCAGCTCTAGCAAAGAGAACTATATCCTCTATATTCCACTATATCCTCTTTTCTATGTAGCCTGTAGCTGGCTATATTTCTATAGCCTGGATTGTATTTAGAAGCCAAGAAAACATGTCCTTTCCCAAGGTGAATTTTCTTTTATCAGGTCAGTAGTGAATCATACTTATTTAGTTGTTTATATGTGTTTATTGTCTTCCTCTTTGTAGCAGTTTATCGCTTTAATGAAATATTTAAATATTTAAATGCATGAATTTGCAAATAAGAGTGAGCTAAATAAAACAATTGCACTTGAACTGGTATAATTGTATTATGGAGTTTTAAATAATAGCATTGACTGCTGAGTTCTCAGCATTGTCTGCTGAGTTCTCAGGTTTAAGGTTGCCATTGGACAGGAAGATCTTGTGGCATAGGGTAGGGAACAGTAAGATGTTGAATAAGCATTGTAGTCTTCCATTCATTTTCTAACCCTTTATCTTGCAGTGGAGGAAACCATTTCTCTACTATTGGGAAAGTAAAGTTCACCTATTTCTGGAATTTGCTTCCATATGTGGAATGGGAGAAATGCAATCTTATCCTTTAAGCAGCAAATATTTATTTTTACAAATAAGTCAGGTTGGTGAACATACCTAATATTCCTTTATCCTCCTATTTTCCCTATAATAACAATCCTGTGAAGTAGGTTGGGCTGAGAGAGAGAGTCTGGCCCAAAGTCACCCAGTCACATTTCAGGCCTGTATTCAATAAAGGATGGAATTTTAACATTTCTGGCAATATTTTCTCAAAGAGAATACAGTACTTGGGCTTATATGGAAAGTTAATTTCAACTCTCTTTCTGGCCTAAGGGCTATACAAAGGAATGTTCTCTTTAATGCTTGATCAGTATCCTATTTCATGAAAGCAAATATTAGTAGTCCTGTACCAAAAAGCTTCAAATATGCTGTGGTGAGCAGAACTGTTTTTGTGCCCCAAACTTTCCCATAAACTCCAAAGTTGTCTTTAGAAGGATCTGACTGTGGTAATAACTGCTGCAGTACTGTACCACCTTAATGTACTGTATAAGCCAGCTGGATAGAAATCTGCTCATGCAGCAAATACCTTCCAGAAGTATTTAGTGGCTCAGAAATGTAAAGAAGAAGCATATTCAGTTCAAGATTAAAGGAGAATTATCCAGAGCCGCATATATGAAACTTATGCAAGACCTTAAAAGCGTTTGAAATGTTTTTTATGTCTTCTGATCTTAACAGAGCAGCATATACTTAAAATGGGTGGCTTCATGGATTGTAATTATATTTTAAAAATTAATAGTATGTACAGTATATAAAAGTAAAAATATAAACTTCTTTTAAGAACAGTGTGCTCCAAGAGAAGTGATGTTAATGGTAGATGTTTAATCAAAGATTAAACTTGGACTTGCCACAAATGTCAAAGACAGGATCATAATTTCATCGGTAGGTATTCTCCATTGCTACTTTACTTATTTAAAATAAAATTACACAGTGAAAGAATACAGTTCATCTATTTTGGAAAAGTAGCAGAAGAATTAGTGCAAAATTAATTGACTAGATCAAGTCTTAGTCAAGTCTGGAATTTATCTAATAAAATCCATAGGGAAAACAATGTTAATTGCGAGTATTTTTTTTTTCATAGCTGAATTAACATGTATCAGCAAACAATTGTGTGTTTGTTTTGATTTTAACATGATGTACCAATCCAGTCATTCTGGTTTGTAATAATGCATGATATAAATCTGATACTTATATATTATGACATTTCTCAAACCAGCATTGAATAATACTAACACTGAACTGTAGTGTTATTCTCCCATGAGAAGGTGAAATACCATATTTTTCGGAGTATAAGACACACTTTTTTCCCCCATAAAAGAGGGTAAAAATTTGGGTGCGTCTTATACACCAAATGTAGCCCCGTTCACCCACTGGCCCCCCCGGAAAATGGGGTGTGCGGAGGCAGCAATAGGCTAAGGCAATCCCTGCAGCCTGAAACAACTGATCTTCGGGAGGCCGATCCAACCGACAATCAGCTGCTTGTGCTAGTCAGGTTGTGCTGAAGCTGAAATTGAAACGGGCTGTTTGCTGCAAAGAGGCAAATTGCTGGGAGGCAGAGGCAGATTTTTTTTTCTTGTTTTCCTCCCAAAAAGATAGGTGCGTTTTATAGTCCGTAGCGTCTTATACTCCAAAAAATACGGTAAACTTCAACCTAGTACGTCTAGATGATTTAGTTCAAGTTGCTTGATAGTGAGATGGGCGACATACAAATTTAACAAACAAACCCAACAACTTCAAGATGTGTGGACTTCAACTCCCAGAATTCCCCAGCCACATCTTGTGTCAAACTCACGGCCCGCGGCCCAGATGCTGGCCATGCCCACCCCCGTTTTAGCAAAGGGGGGGAAAAGTCACAATATGTCACGTGACAAAAACGTGACACGAGTTTGACACCCCTGATTTAGATCATCGGTCCAAGTCAAATTAACCAAAGGCAGTGTTGACTAGAACATGGGGAAATAGATCTCCAACACATAATGAACCAGATTGGAGACAACTGTTAATTGAATCCATTCTGTTCAGTGATTCCCCTGAAACCTTTGTAAATAAGAAGTTGACCTATTTTCAGAAATATTATAAGTGTTTTAGTTGGTTTGTTTTTGCCAAGAACAACTTGTGACTGGAAAGTGACATATTTAAAAAAGATATATCTGCTCTGGGCAATGACAAAGAAAATTGTTAATGCAGATGGCATTTTTTCTCCACACTATCAATCATTGCTAGGTGAAATGTAGGACAAATGTGCACCAATCATCATGAGTATTTTCCTGAATGCAAAAGTGAAATTAAATTTGGGTTACCTCTAATCCTGTTTATTACTTTATGCTATTTTTTTTTTTAAAATGACAAGACTAGCTCAATAAAACAATAATGGCCAGAGTCACGAGACACATCACATGAAATAGCTACCAGTGACAGGAACTTGCAGTTTGTCTAACCAGATTCTCTTTTACAGGCAACTTCCCTTCCCCCAACTGCACTTCAAAGGAAGAGCCATCCATTAATAACAGTGCACAACTTAAACCCAAAGGGCTAATCCCTTTTAAGCACCCCTTTGCAAAATATACTCATTTACAGTTGACATTCATCAGACCTCAGCAGGAAATTAGATGGAGAACAGCATGAAAATATCACATACAAAAAGAATAATAATCAGGTTTAACAGGTTTCTGCAGGACTTTATTTAAATGTGGGTGGAGGAGTGAGAATTTGCTATAATATACCAGTAATGTCTAAAGACAAGATTTCATAGTTCAGTATGGTTAACACGCTATAATAAGCATATTGCTGTAAATCCATTAAGATGAAGGTAATATAAATGCCAGTAAATGCAAAATAAAAAAATATTTTCACCCATTGTAAATTTGTCTCTTTCACAAAAGTTCTATTTCATAATGTAGGCAAGACTTTTATTCTTGAAGTCTTCCGAAGGCTGAGCATATCTCCTGGTGACTAAATTATCCAACTACAGTATTTATTTTCTTTATAAGAATACAGAAGTTTTTGCTACAGGTAGTCCTTAACCTATGACAATTGTGCCCAAAATTTCTGTTGTTAAGCAAGACAGTGAGTTCTGTTCCATGTTATGACCCTTCTTGCCATAGTTGTTAAGTGAATCCCATTGACTTTGCTAGTCAGAAGTTGCAAAAGGTGATTGACTCCTGCACACAGCAACTGTCATAAATGACAGAATGTTGATCATGTGACCATGAGGAGGCTGCACTGGTTGTGTGAAAAGGATTACCCGTACTGTCTCCTTCCAGAGTTTTTTAAAAGCTATATTTTATAGTTTTATGTGTTTTATAGTTTAAAGATTTCTTGGTGCATTCCCATCCAAGTACTAACCCTGTTCATTTTTTTTGAGAACAGTCAAGACCGACTAGTAACAGCGACCAGGCTAATAAAGAGGGTGTTAAATGAGTTTGGGGATTAGATTCATTCTAAATTATTTGAATTCAGATCCTCATGATGTGGATACCTGCTACATTTTAAAACATTAAGTGATACAGAATCCTCAATCCATTAAATTACCCTTTGGTTGGATCCCTTTTAGACTTTGTAATGTAGTATAGAAATAATGTGAATTGCTAATATAACCTAGGTTGATAGGATATTTTCTGAGGTTTAAGAGGTTGGCAAGGTAGCCGTCACCCATTTGCCTTACATAACTGATAACGTAACTGACCTTGTGCTTTATGGCAGACATGTTGTGAATAGATACTTCTCCTCCCAGCAACCATTTGCTGAGAGCATCCAGTTGAAAGCTCTCCAAATTTCTTGTGTACCCATTAGTTGAAAATATTTCTGCCTGCCTAAACTGGCAATATCTGACTGACATCATGAACATCCAACAAACCTATCCATAGACAGATTCTGTCCCCTTGTTAACTAAAGTTATTCAAGGAAAACATGCATGCAAGTTGTATGTTTTGCATAATTTATATAAAAATTGAATTGATTTTTGTTACTGTTGGGTCACTCCAGTGTTTATTCCCAAGAGCAGCCTTTCCACAAACCGGCTGCTTCCCCCCACCCCCATCTGGTTCCTAATAGACTGTAGACAGTGATTTAGGATACTTCACTGCATCTCTGCCTGGCTGTGAAGGTGGAAATATGTAACTGGGTGTCATCTGCATATTAATACCTTAACCTAGAGGTGGAGTGTGTATTTAATAGACATGTAACAAGCAGGAATAGAAAGCTATGAACTATCATTTCTGTGCTTACCATTTAGTATTCAGTCTGAAAGACTGAAAATTAGTTTTGCTTACAACAAATGGAAAACATACAAATAAAACATGATTTACTAGATCATTACTTCTTTCTCTTTAACTCCTGCAATTCAGAAAAGGATTGATATTCCCAGGCCTTGCTTAATACCTGTTACTTTATATCTTCCAATTCTGGAACAAGAAATCTAAGTGGGCTCATCCCAGGAGATGATTGGTATTATCACCATGATCAATTTTTCTATCATTCCAGCTCATTAAGATTAAATATCTTAATTTTAAAAAAACGCACCATGATTCAAAGGTTGCAACTACACCCAAATTATCTTCTTAGAGAATGGCATGAGACTGGATGGGACATAAAATATGTGAAATGGAGCTTATATGTCGGGCAGGAGTGAAGGCAAGGTTTTTGCTGCTGCAGGCTATTGATATATGTAAAAAAAAATGTGCATTTTTGGATTAGAGAAAGTCTGGAAATATATGTTTGAATTATATAACTTTTGATGTAAGTAGTTGTTGACTAAGTTAACAGCACTGTATGATAAAAAAATTGAGAATGTTTAAATTGAACAGATATTAAATGCATGAGAATAAAGATATTTATGTATAAAGATGTATAAAGATTACTTGTGATATTAAGAACATGTTTTTTATGTAAGCAATATTTTATAAAATTTTTATAAAAAAATAGAAAAATTTTACTATGTGCAAATACTGAGTGGAAATGTCTGTGTTTAAGAATTTGCTGTAACGAAACCACTCCATATTGATATGCAAGATCATTTTATTTGTATCCCAGCTAAACGTTTAATGCTTGAACCAACAACTGAAAATTTCTTTGGTTATAAGAATTTATTCCAAGCACTTTATCATGGAATGCTAAATGTTTACATTTGAGATGTAAAAATGCATTTTCTTGGTAATACAGGCAAAGTAGCAAATGGCAACAGCCTCACAATATTTAAAGACTTTTAATACTCTTCACCTTCATCTTCACCATCCAAGGAGTCAGTGCCCACTTCTTCATAATCCTTTTCAAGGGCAGCCAAATCTTCTCGGGCCTCAGAAAATTCTCCTTCCTCCATTCCTTCTCCTACATACCAGTGGACAAAAGCACGCTTGGCATACATCAAATCAAACTTGTGATCCAGGCGGGCCCAAGCCTCTGCAATGGCTGTGGTATTGCTGAGCATGCAGACTGCACGTTGGACTTTGGCCAAGTCACCACCAGGAACTACTGTTGGGGGCTGATAATTAATGCCCACCTATAAAGTTACAGAAATAGACATTGTCAGGCTTTCCTACATCCAAGTAGTATGTGACATTTCTACACCGCAAATCAGAATGTGCTGCATTTACATAGAGAACAGAAATCCTATAAAGGTTGTTCTGTGCTTAAGCACCAGAACTGGATCTGTATAATCTGCCTTTTTCATAGAAAAATTGAAATAATTTTTGCTTTAATAAGCAAATTTCAATTATTGCAAATAATTTTTATTTGCATTTGTCAGAAAATATCCCAACATTATCCCCAAAAGCAATTCTGCCGTTAAAGAAATGGAGTTCAATTTGCATAATCCAGCATGTAGTTTCTATATATCTACGGTAGCATCTTAACTATCAGAACTAGGAGCAAAACCCTTCAGCTATTTGCTCTTAAATATAATCTTAATTGCATTGTAAATCATGATGCTGTTTATATTATTTCAAAGTTTCATGTTTCTACTACATTTATTCAGAAATCTACACATTTAGACAAGATATCATTTTCAATACACATCAGCAATACTTACCTTAAAACCAGTAGGACACCAATCAACAAATTGAATGGTACGCTTTGTCTTGATAGCAGCAATGGCAGCATTGACATCCTTGGGGACAACATCTCCACGGTACAACATACAACAGGCCATGTACTTGCCATGGCGAGGATCACACTTCACCATCTGATTGGATGGCTCAAAACAAGCATTGGTGATCTCAGAGACAGAGAGTTGCTCGTGATAGGCTTTCTCTGCTGAAATAATAGGGGAATATGTGACTAGGGGAAAATGAATTCTGGGATAAGGCACCAGGTTTGTCTGGAATTCTGTCAGATCCACATTTAAGGCACCATCAAATCTGAGAGAGGCAGTGATGGATGAAACAATCTGACCAATGAGGCGGTTGAGATTGGTGTATGTTGGGCGCTCAATGTCTAGATTCCTTCGACAAATATCATAGATGGCTTCATTGTCAACCATGAAGGCACAATCAGAATGTTCAAGAGTAGTGTGCGTAGTTAATATGGAATTGTATGGCTCAACAACAGCAGTTGAAACTTGAGGAGCTGGGTATATGGCAAATTCGAGTTTTGATTTCTTTCCATAGTCAACTGAAAGGCGTTCCATCAGCAGAGAAGTAAAACCTGAACCAGTGCCTCCTCCAAAACTGTGGAAGATCAGGAACCCTTGCAAACCGGTGCACTGGTCTGCCTGAAAGAAGAATATGCATATTACACATTCCAACAGTACACACAAGATTTATGTCCTTTAAGTTTGCCCTTTTCTTTTTTATATCCTATAAAGTAGCAAGAATTTCCTTGCCAAGAAATAAGTTATTGTGATCTGTAAGGAAAGAGGCTTGGCTTAATATCAAAAAGTTATTTAAAATTGTCAGTTTAGACCACTGGCAACATTGGTTTGACCCTTGTCCCCAGGAAGGAGAGGAGAGAAGATAGTATCAGAAGAGAATGAAAGGGAAGTCAAAAAGAAAAAATGAACAGACAAATGAGTAGTTCCAACAACTTTTGGCTCTAGGATTGCTCTGATTTGTATTGAAAGAATATGTTAGCAGTAGAAAAAGTGTTATTCACGAGTACCCCAAATCACAAAAAGGGCCCTTGTTCTCCGAGCTCTCATTTCTCCACCTGGGTCCTATACTGTCTGTTGACTGGATAATGGTGCCCCCAAACAGGCTCAGAGGTCATTGCCATCTTCACCTGATAAGTTCCCCTTGATTGTCATGGTCACATTATAATATATTGTTATATTGATATGACAACAACTGCATCCTGGAGCCCAGCCTTTCTCCCTCCCAGAAGAGAGGAGCTGGGGAAGGGACAGCAGCTTTGTCACCCAATCAATCACTGCTTGCCTAGCCATGTAGGTGTAACTATTACTACAAGTGGGCAGAGAAGCCTCCAAGAATGCCTGTGATAAGCGCCTTTCCATATCACGTGTTATCTTCTTCATTTCAGCCAATGACATTTTTCTTAATATATTGCAGCCCCCAGGCCAATAAGATAATCTGCCTATGGCACAATTTGTGTTTAGATCCAATTTATGCTCAAGGTAAATTTCAGTGTATGTTTGACAGGTTTAAAACATTAGGACATACCAGCTTCCTAATCCGCTCCAATACAAGGTCAATTATTTCTTTCCCCACAGTGTAGTGACCTCTTGCATAATTGTTAGCAGCATCTTCCTTGCCAGAAATCAATTGTTCAGGATGGAAGAGTTGCTTATATATCCCATTCCGCACTTCATCTGCAATAGAATACATACATTATTTACAGTGAAAATCTAGAAGAATTTATTGTTCATATTCTACTTCCTCATTGGTTCCGAGTATCACTGTTTACACCATAACC